TTTTTTTTTTTTTTTTTTTTTTTTTTTTTTTGTCTTAATTTTTTCATGCCTATTTTGTCTGTTTCTTTTGTAAACAAAAGGTTCTTTGTTTGGCGTTGTTGCAGTCAAGCATTTTCCCCGCGAACCCGATTTCGCCCTCCTCAAGCATGCATTTTTTTCGCTATTAATTCACCTTACTTTTTTTTCCATTGTAGGGTTCTTAACTCCACCTGATTCATGCGTGATAATTTCAGACTTGTTTATTTACAACTAATTTCCTAATTGTCTGTTGCCTCACTTTCGTTATAAGAGTTGTGGTGTTCCAAAAACACTACCCTCTTGGTGAAACATAGTATAATAGACGATGGCTGGATCTGTAATCTGAATCCTAGGGATCTGGAAGATCCAAATCCACTTAGCTGGCGATTTATCTGCCTACAGTTTCTGATTTCTTGGCCATCCTTTGATCTTTTCAAAGTACTCATGTAATTACAGCATTTCATTTTTATGAGTTGAACTTACTGTTATACGGTACGGGAAGTTAATGAGATGAATTTGCGGAATCACTTATCTTCACTATCTTTAAAAAAAATTTCTATCCGTCTTATTCACAAATTTGCATTTTTTCATTTAAGTACGTTGGACTAAAACAACGTACAATGGTGTGAATTACCTTGTTCATTGATTTTAAGATCTCTTTTGGACAAAAGCAGTAGTCTACTGTTTTAATAGAAGGCATGCTTTATGAAATGGTAGGATTATAAGCACATCTGTAATGGCAGCTTATTTTCAGAATAGCAATGAGTATCTCACTAAGCAAAGAGTCGTAAAGTAATGAAAAATAATTGTTACCAGTTAGGCAAAGCTCCACTGATGAGACGGTGTTGTGAAATATGCTATGGAAATTAAAGCAAAACTTTAATATTTGACTGTCAGAAAGTTAGCATCTGGATTTGGAACTATCTAGACAGTATCAGGTGAGGTCGAGAAATTCGTATGAAAAAGTTTGATGGTTAAAGGGAAAAAGCACGTTTAGTAATGCGCAAACTCAAATGTAGTAA